TATCAAAATAATCGTAAAATAAAGCAATTAATAACTGAATAATAGATTTTACGGATATTATCGCGTTAAATTTTAGCTCATTTATAATTACTGATGTTTCGGGTGCTTTACGGCACATAAGGTTGGCTATATGTTAGCACGTGAAACACTGACGCTCTGAGAAGTCAAGATCGTAGCTGCCATTATCAGATTCATATTATACAGACTAGCTGTGCCCGCGGCGTAGCTCGCGTATATAGATTTTACATAAAGAATTTGTCGTTTAGGTAAGACAATATTAAACGATTTATATCATTACTGTATCAATAAGTGGTAACAAATAAATCATTATCATCAAAGTTCTAAGTAGTTTATGATAGAGCTTCGGTGTAAACGACGTTAGAAGTAGACTTAGACGGGGTGTACACAAAAAAGGTTACGGGGGCTACTAACGCGGGAAAAAGCAACATAGAGTTGGCCATGTGCAAAACAGTCAGTACTGAGGTCTACTCTTACAACGCGTAAATTTTGACCTTGCGCTATATTTACGGTCATCGCATAACACACGCTCACTGTAACTGGGAACTGAACGCGCTTAAAACTGAAAGGAAAGTTACTTCTTTATAGAGGGTTTTTGGCAGTGCTGCCAGATCATAAAAACTCATTCAGCGCTAGGACAACACAAAAAGCGCTAGATTTCATGAAAACAGCGCTTTAAAAAAGCCCTAGATTTCGCGCTAAATTAACTGCAAAGTTTGTGTTTTTTATTATAATTTATAATTCAAGAAAATATAATCATAATAAAGAAAACAACATTAAGTTTTTTTTCTGGCAATATTTTTTGATGTATCAATACTTCGCAGGACATCGACTTATAATTATGGCAATTGCTGTCAACAGTAGTTAGTACTACTCTAAGTAACTTTTAACTTAGCTGTGCTCTAAACAACTGACTAAAACTGAATAAAACAAAATAAATGCGTTGCCAAAACCATGAACGAAAACTTTAATGAAGGGGATTTCCCCGCTTATAGCCGTCGATAAAAAAAATCAAGTTGATCATCCTAAAGGGGAAGCCGGGAGATCCATAGCACAGGGTATCCTAGTTTGGACTCGTTTCCCATGGTCTTTGTTTTGTGGAAAAAATATGTTTAAAAAAGATAAACTGCAATGTACTATTTGTGGAAAAAAATAATAAAGGTCATTATTATTATTATCGGTAATGTGGACTAACAGTGCTGCTATAAAAGAGTTGATAACCCGCTAGTCGCTACAATTTTGAAATGTGTGCTAAATACACCAAAAAGCGCTGGATTAAGTGCTAGGTGCTAAAATTTCGAAATGCACGCTATACATTCCAAAAAAGCGCTAAATCTAGTTTCCAAAGCGCTAAAATGGCAGTACTGATTTTGCGTATATTATAAATACAATATCACGACATTTCGTTGCAATTTTGTTATTTTTGTTCGGGTTCCGTTGTATGGCTTCGATAGATACAAATTTCTTCAGTAAGTCTCAATACGATTCCTCGGAGAACAATCTCAATACAGCAAATCAGAAAAGTTTGTAATTTGTACAACTCCATCTATTACATCCTTTGTGTGAGAAAACATCCTTTTTAAAACTCTTTTTATGTTTTAAGTATAAATATATTAATTATTATGGAACGTTTTTTTTACACAAAAATCTTTTTATTACTATTTCTGAGATTTTTATGGCGCCATTGAACAAATTCGATCCTACATTTTAAAATAATAATCATTACTTTCGATAGAATTAACCAATTTTAATAAAACAAAGTTTAAATGTAACTTGAAGATACGCTTTATGATTTTCTTAACGATTTCTTTGAAAAAAAAAGATGTTTACTTTAGACGTGATGCCTTCATATAAAAACAGACAAACAGACAGACAGATAATTCTAAAAATTATAAAAAAGTACTTATTTAATTATTTTTAGTTCCCCATAATGATTTTAGTCACCAAAATATATATACAATGTACAGAAAGAGACACAACATGTTATCATCATTTTTATTATATGTATATATTTAATTAAAGAGAGATGGCGCTGCTAACATCAACTTGATGACTCAAACATAGCCACCGTTGAGCAAATTCCCTACCCATACTTCAGAATATTTATCATAACTTTTGATGGAATGAACCGATTTTAATGAAATAAAGACTAAATGTAACCCGAAGGTACACTTTAGAATTTCCTTAACAATTCTTATGATATAAATTAGTACTTTAAACGTGATACGTTAACAAACAAACAGACAGACAGACAGAAAGACAGACAGACAGAAAATTCTAAAAATGGTAGAAATGTATTTAATTACTTATTTTTAGTACCCCTCAATCACTTTTATTACAAAATTATAAAATGTACAGACATCTGCTATTTACAGTTTTATTATATGTATAGATAAACACATCATCAGATTTGATAAAGCACAAATAATTGCAAAATAACATTTTTATTCCTACATACAACAATGATGATTAATGGGACTATTGAAATTAAAAATATCCTCGTTTCAACTGAGAAGTTGGCTGGACACCACTAAATGTTTGGTGATCGATAATTAATCAAATTAACATCAAACCCACGTATACCTATATACTATTCAAGATACTGTTACTTCATTCGGCATGGATCGGACCAAAAAGACCTGATTTAGATATAAGAAACTGAAGGTAGCCCAAACTAACTACAAGACCAGGACGTCAAACGCCCCAATTCCCCCGTGGGAATATCGGGAATTAAGAATAAGTTAAAATCAAACGAATTAAAATCTTTATTTGTTTATTTAATGTGTTGTGGTCGCATAAATATAAGAAATTATCTAATATGATGTGTATTTTGTTTTTAGACTCTTTAATTGTTGATAAAGAGAAAAAAAAGTAAATGTTTAGTAAAAATTGGATTATTATCATTATTTCTTACTCAAAACCCGCTGTGATTAGCATAATAAATTGCAATAAATTGCAATAGCTTTAAATGTTTAATAATGGCCATGCATAGGTCCACTTAACACTTGAACACACAATGTACATTGTACAATAATAAATCTAAACAATACACATTGTGTCTTATAATGTACCCTGTAGGACACTATCACATAACAGCTGAATGTATAAATATGATTATATTTTAATTATAATTTTAGTTCCATTGAATATGTGTATTTAATAACATTAATTTTTAAAACAAAATATGAGGAACTTTCTTAATATATTATGTACATTCTTAAAAACAACTACACTACATATCGAAACGCTTCTAAGGAGTACTAGACTCAGAATAGTCGTCAACGTGTTAAATTAGTTATTATTTAACTTTATTTTTTTATTATTTTCTTATTGGTGCCTCTTTATTTTAACACTGATTAGATGCCTAGGCCTTAGGATTTACTTAGATCACTACTTTACTACACAAGGCTGTTTATTATGTTTCACCAGACACTAAGCTTCTTTTTAGTGTACTCCTGACCTCACACACCGTACAAATGCCCGCAGTTACCTCAACTCTTGGCTTCCGACCTTCGGCCTTCGGTAATGATCCTGAACTGTTGATAGAGCATTGTGGATGGGGCGGCGAGCATTATTCTATCGTAACTACATCATCATAAGAACCACTTTTAATAGATTTTATCAAAGTAATTGATTATCACACTCTTTCTCTCAAATATCAATCGTTATCAGACATTCTATTAAGGGTGGTTCAAGTGCGGCTCGCTAGCACGGGGGCAGTAGAGTTTGTTGGTAACGTGGTTGGTGGGCAGCGGCGGCGTGGGGTGAATGTCCGCCGGCGGTGCGAGCGCTGTTCGAGGCCCCCCAGCGTGTGCCGGCCCGTGCCCCTCCCTTGATGCGCTACGCCGCACCCGACGGTACCATCCTGCTCCTCACCGAGAACGGCACCAGACTGATGACCAGAGCCGCGGCCGCCAGCCTACTCCGTGCTGCCCTACTCTCCCCGCGCCCCCCACGACCCCGCCACGGTGAGCCGCCGCCGCACCCTCTCTTTATGTTCTCTCTTCTCTGTGTGTCTCTCGGATTTCGTCGCCTCTCGCACTGCACGCTTCGCTAATCGCTTTTTAAGGTAGGAGCGCAAACTAGTTAATATTGAAAAGTCACTTCACAATGAACACCTAATATCATTCTTGCATTTTTATTGAACTCAATATTTCCTCCAGCCTTTTTGTACATTAGCGGGACCTGCCTCCATCTAAACATTTTCCAAGTGAATATTCGCTATTCTGAAATTAAATGCTCCCAATCCTTCGAATGTTACACAACAGCTGTTAATATGAATTAGAAAAGTAAGTGTTTAATAATATATTATAGGAAATATAATGGTGTAACAATTTTGGGTATTAGTTTTGAATTGTCTAGTGAACGCTGAGATTCAAATTATGAGGTAAACTTTTTTTAAATACTAATAGTATGTATATTTGGTTTATTATCAGCATTTATAGCATAAACAGGATACTCGCTCCTACCTTATGCTCGCATGTTTTTACTATTCTGCTATTTTCCAAGGAATCTACTGCTATAGGTATCAACATACTAAATTATATCAATTATCAGACAAACATTGATTATTCCTTAATGTGATTGTCTACATATATCTGAAATAATACATCTCGAATTTAGCATGTTTGCATGTTTTCTTTCTGCATTTTCTTCTTCTACGATCTCTATGGTTACTGCGCGGCATAGATATTGGCTTTTACAAATAGTACGAGCGGGACTGCCATCCAATGAGGGCTTTGCTAATGTTATCCACTAGTCCGGTGTACAGTTTCCTAAATTACCGTATCGAATGTTTTCGTTTTGCTCGATTAAAGATGTTCTTTTGCCAAATTATTGTTTGGATTGTCATTTTTTATCTCATATTAGGATATAATTTCAAACTGATGTTTAACCGATCCCCTGCGCGATCGCCTCTGCCATTGATACCGGAGTCCCGTCGCGCTATGGCTCGGTCACCGGGCTTACCGTTAAGAGATACGATGGGTGCAATTCCAGTAAAGCTGATGTCGGACGGATGGCACGCTAATCGGAACGCAACCGGTGTGACGTCATGGATCGGCGGTATGTCTATAACTCAAGACGGCAACCTTATCACACCGGATAAAATCATGACACATGTTCACCGGTACGCAAGTCCGCACTACCACCCTCATGGACTCCATGACCATCGCTGGAATCATGAGCCCGGGGGGAGTGAAGACCCTCTCTATGCTACCAAGACTGTCTACGGGCCCGGATACATTGATGAAAACCGTACGTATTATAAAAGTATTTCGACGTTTTGTAAATGTTAACAATTTTAACTGTCGTATTTTAACTACTTTAAACATTTTAAATTTATTAAAGATATTGGTTAATTTATCATAAGGCTTTAAATTATACATATTTCCATGATTACACTAATATAAACAGACATTACCACTAACCATAGATATCGTATCATCATTTCAGGCTTTAGGTTTGTATAGTTCTAGACGAGTCCAGTTATAAACTCATCGATCCATATCAATTTAGCACAACAAAATGTTTTTCAAGTGTTTGTCTCCTTTAATGTTGTTCCAGTAACTAAACCTTTATCCTGTGATATTTAAAGTTAGCAGATCATGAGTAGTTTTAAGGAAAGAATAATTTACAGTTCTTAAATTTTATACAAAGAGAACACAAATTGAAGCTTTGGGTAGATGATATTTTAGAAGGGATATTAGTGCTTTAGTTCCCTTTAAAACCGCTTCCCGTTTCCTAATGTCCACAGTAAGATTGTAGAGGATTTAGTATTACAGAAGCGATTTAGCAAAAGGAGCTTAGACACGTAAATCTTCGCGAAGCTTTGCAATTCTCGCTAAAAGTTCAGATATTCATCCTTCATGAGTCGCTATCGGATAGCATTAATTTGATTCTTAGAGATAAAAAGAAATTATTTAATGGAATATACCATTGAATACGGTAAGTTCAATTTAATTTGAAATTATCTTTAACATTTTCCATTAAATGGTATCTATTAACACACCCTAAGCTTTCATTTACTTCATTAACTTCCACATTATTGTTATTAATTAAATTAATTTTATATTAATTAGCATGAGTAAATTGTCTGACATGCTTGTTTTTCAGATGTGAGTACATATTTTATCTAAAATAAATCATTTGCTCATTCTGTATTTAAATTATCAAATATAAAGTATTTCACATTATTAAGTTTTGTATTACACTTTGTAAATGATATCTCTTGTCTTGGCATGGGCGTTACTTCTGTTTGTTCGAGTCACTTTATTAATATTATATATTTAATTATTTTAATTTCTTATTTTAACATCGTTTTATGTGTTGTTTTTTTTTACTATTTACTTTATATGCCTTAATTATATATTTGAGAGTAATAAATGTTTTAAGACATGTATTTGACGGTAAAAAAAAATTGGTGTCAAATACGGTTTATATTTTCTTTTACTTTTATTTTGTTTATTCAAAAACCACTTAGAAATATTTATATTGCTGCGCTATATTATGATTAAAAATACAAATTCTGAAAACACGTTATAAACTGAACTAAAAAAGGTCTATAGGGATAAGTACCTACTTTAGAAATTATATTAAAACTGTCCAACACGGTACATAAATAAAACAATAGTAAATGTCAACTATTTTATGTGCTAAGCTAATAAATTAACACACAAACTTTAAATATAAAGTCACGCTCACACTAAACATCTCACACACTTCAAAACTAACACTAAACAACAACCAACAGAGCGGATTGGCAAAGAGAACGGTAAATCAGGTGATGAGAAGGTGGCTCTTCAGTCTACATGTCACGTTGCTTTGGACACCTGTATCAAGGACACTGAATGCGTGGCGTCTCTAACTCCGGTCCTTCAGAAGTGCCATTCCACCGACTGCGACAGGGAAGGTTGCATGGCTGCTCTACGAGGTTTCTACAGAAAACCGAACGTGAACTGGAATACGGAAATTGCTTTCTGCCTATGCAAGTTAGTAACAGATTTAATTATTACTCACTATAATATGTCATACTGTATAATTTGTTTATTGCATTACTGTGTACAATAGTTAGTCTAAACGTATTAAAATAAAAAGCATTTAGTTGAAACATTATTGTTTACTAGCGACACGATTGTTAATACATTTTTCATAGAATAAGGGTGACAAACGAGCACACAGTTCACCTGATGGTAAGTGGATACTGTGGTCCATATGCATCTACATCTATCCTTGATTAAAAATCAAAATAAAGATACGTGGTAATCCTTGAGGACTAAGCTAGAGTGCCTCCTTACCAGTAAAAAATTTTTGGTATTTTTTTATATGGTTATACTCGTATTTATATTTATATACACTTACCATACAAAACACAGCAGCATTATCCTGCTGTTTCACGCTGGTATTCTATAAGAGCACGGGCCTACTCCGGTTGAACCGACAGCCATAATATTGTTGCAGCATAGCGCTACCATGTTTCTGTTCAACTAACTGTAATTGAAAAATTTGCAGGAAAACTGACAACAGGGAAGACTCTTGTATGAACGCGCAAGAACGCTTACATCCTTCTTGCGCACAGCGACCTCCCCTCGGATCACCGCTTCCTGCCTGCCATACTCTGGCACATGCCTGTAGAGAAGACCCAGAATGCAGGTGAGTTCTTATGTGTACGGCGAATATATAAATTAATAACGGGAAACATTTTCTTTTTACTTCTCATTGCCTCATCATACGAAGTTTGTATTTAGTAATTATCTTATACGCGATTGACAACAAAAAGCTTGATGTACAATCATGCAATTATAAAAATTAAATATTATCTTTAGTTTTTCTAAAACCCCTTTAACAAAGAAGTTTTAGAATTATATAAGATCCGAAAATATTTTACGAAAATATAAGTTATTAGTTTTAGTTTCCTAAAATTAAATTAAAGAAACATTGTGAATTTTGACACTTTCCTGTTATAATATTAATTTAAAAATTTTACTCTTTTTTCTTATTTATAAATTTCATAGATCAAGGAGTAACCTCGATTCAAACTTCTAGCTAGGTTACACGCAATTTGTACCCAAACCAGCCACCAACGTCGAAACTTCTGGCACTGTAATTACCAATCTGTCTTCCAAGCGTAGAGATCATATCTAATTCTCTCTGCTACATGAGAGGCCCATAATATACAGCAATGGATAGTTACGAGCTTGTAAAGAAATAATTAAAGTAAAAACCGACTTCAAAGTGATAAAAAGATGTTATTTGTTCGCTACTGGGATGCTATTGGGGTGATTTTTTTCTCTAAACTACCCTTGAAGTATATATAACATTTTTAATAAAAAAAGAGTCATCAAAATTGGTTCACAATCTGCGAAGATATCGCGTAACAATCATACAAAAAAACACACTCGAATTAAATACCTCTTCCTTTTTGAATTCGGTTAAAACGTGAAATAAGATAATATAAGACTTTACTTGATTAAATAACATTTTTTTTTAATTATAGCAATATTGTTAACATTACTAATATTCCCTTTAACCACGACAGTAGTTGAATGGCGGAATCAAACCCACCTTTTGAGTTCCCGGTCCATAACTTACTATTAGGCTACTGTCGCTCACCAGGAGACTTATAATCTATATTTAAAATAAATCTATTCTTTTCTACTCACTAGATTTATCAGTATAAACTATCATTAATACTAATATTTTTTTAACTGTACTTCCGATTGTCGTCACTTAGTGAAACTCCCATCTTCATTGATCCTGCCTACGATGTGCGTATTACAATTGATGTACTACTATCCTAGCATAGTGAATAAACAATCAGTTTAATTATTCACACTGCGGGAATAGTGTTCGAAAGTATTACGGAAAGTTGTCAAGTTGAACTTTCAGGTCACGGTCGATTTGTGTGTTCTGTTTGTATGTCATTAGAACATGGGTACAAAAGTAGGAATGACGTTTCCATATAAACGTAAATGGTAAGGAACACGCACATTTAACATTAATGTTTGACATCACAAAAGATCTACGAAGTCGTGTGTCATACAAAAGAAGATCTCTTGAATATACGAGTAGGTATAGAACAATATAAAATATGTTGAATAAAACGAAACACTCTTTTTTTAATTCTTTATACTGATAAATTCAGTGACATTCTCACGACATTATCAATATTATTTACCCTCTAGACGTTAAAAAACTCCCAACAAGTTTGTTTTTAAAAATAAAGTCTGTGAGCATGTAAAAAATGTGTTAGTTTATAAACCTATTATTATATTATATACTAGCTGGGCTCGCGACTTCGTACGCGTGAAATTAGTACTTTTGTTATTTATTTGTACTTTTAATAGACGCGAAAATCTAGAAAGAAACTAATCTGGATAAAACATTCAGTTAGTCAATCAATCAGACAAACTAAAGAGCAAAAAAATAGACAGACCCGCAAAGGAAACGTGAAAGAACCGAGAAACGAATTGGGTAAACTATACGCTTATGTTTCATTTTGAAAATAAACAACAAAACTTCTCTAGCCAACACTTGGTTCCCATACGATAAGTGTTTGTCCTAAATAACCAAGCTCTATCACCAGTTATTAGTATTTAGTACTACGGTATGTATACCACCATATTTCTATTAATATAATAAATATTTGAAATGAAAAAGCTACAATCCAATGCCTAACTATTTAAAATTAAGTACCTATATACAAACAAAATGAATAAAATTGGATATCTAAATTATGTCTCATCGTGCAACCAAATGAAAAATAAAACTAAACTCAACGTAGGAAAGTCTTTAGACCTTTAATATAGGTGTGTTCGGGCTAAAAATCTGTGAGATTTTCTATTAAAAAATTCGCAGTAGCAGCCCGGAGTCAAGATTATAGCGGTGCTTCATCCTTGTTGCTCAGGGAGCACGTTAAGTCGTTGGCGTCCGATCTCTCTATATTTTCTGTCGGATTACCATCCAATCGAACTATGAAAGTGTGTGCACCTGTGCTTGCGCACACACTCCTGATCCATAATCCTATCCTACGTCATTAAAGAAGGTATATAAGGTATAATGTAGGTACGCGCTTGGTACTTACGTGCGTATTATAGAACACTAGTACTCGTACTCTTTACCAAAATCTTCGTACATAATATCGCAATGTCCTGCACAAATGGTTAGTCTCTGTTGAGACAAGCCGCCATGACCGAAATTCGGCCTCAAGGACATTATTAATGGGTTAAAATATAAATACAACAATAAAAATTATATTATCTAAAACCTTTTAAATATTATCTACAATATTAAAAACTATGATAATTTAAAAAAAACTAAAACTAGAAACTTAAATAGCGGTATTGTGCCAAGAACGCTGGCTGGTTGCCCCGCTGAATGGCTATACTTAGCCTTTGACCGAGGAAAGAACCAGCCCTCTTATCACCAGCAGCAACGACCAGCCGCGGATTGAGTTCCTTTAGGAACTTCACCGCACGTGGACCCCACGGACCAATAGTCTCTACAGCAAATGGCACAAATATGTAGTCATCTCTCAGAGACTCATATTTGCGCCACTTACTCAGTTCAGCTGCCTTTTAATATAATATATGGTGGTAACAAAACCTTCTTTTAATTCAGCGCTAACGCCACCTACTTGCAAATTGTAATAATAAACAATGATAAAAAAACTGCCCAAGTGCATGTCGGGCCACGCACAACGTAGAGGTAGGGTTCCGTAATAACAACTCAGTTCCTATGCTCTCTTGATAATGAGCATAATAAATGAGTTCGCGGTTTGACCTCTATAACGTCTAAAAATGGGCCAAAATAGGAAGATCGTAACTGAAGGACTTATTTTCAAATCAGCCTTAAAGTGTATTCAAAAAAGATTAAAAAACTTTTCGATTCTTCATAAAATGTCTATTTTTAACAGTTTACAATAACATTACAAAGTATTAATGCAGCTAATTTTAGGTCATTTTCTATGGAGTTGTAACGAAATTTTTACTAATCCAATCGCAAACGTACCCCCGAATCAAAAAGATGTTGTTCCGCACCCCCCATTGTGTTTGAAAGAGCTATCCAACGATACCCCACATGATAAAATAGACGGGTAAAAAAAATCATTCTCCATTTACTTGTATGGGAAGTACCCAAAATAAAAATGTTTTTAAGATTTTATTTCACAGTTTTCTAGGCGTGATTAATATTTATAACGATGCCAAATTACAGATTTGTAGCACCTAAGCTCTCTGAGCAAAACCGCGGACGGACGGACGGACGGACACGCAACCCTAAAAAACAACTGTACTGTTTTGTATAATAATTTTCCTCATTTTGTAGAGTTCTAAAATATATATTATTCATAATTCCCCAACACTACGCAATTAAAAACTATTTTATGTTTTTTTTTATGAGTGTTACCTCATAGCTTTTTTCTAGGTGAACCGATTTGGATGATTCCTTTTTTATTTGAAAGCTGGTGCTTTTCATATGATCCCATATAAATGATCAAGGTCTGACGGGTAGTTTTTGAGTTATCCTTAATAATTTATATTGAAGTCGGTTGTACAAAATTTTTAATTTTAACTCTAGTTGTAATAAGGGTCTCCAATTCTAAACACTCGCCAAATGAAACACAGTAGCATTAAACTATACTATATTATGGTTGAAGCACGAATGGATCGACTCGACAGGGTAGGACCACGCTCTCACGGAATACCAGCGTAAAATTGTAGGTTAATGCTGTTGTTTCGTATGGCGAGTGTGTGTGTGTGAACCGAAACCCTTTTCACTTGAAACGAGGCATTCCACCTTAGTTCTTAAGGGTAACAACGCATCTGCATTTTGATTCTTAATTGAGGATAAATGTAGATGTCTATGGGCCAAAGTATCCACTTACCATCAGGTGGACTGTGTGCTCGTTTGTCTCCCTATGCTATAAAAAATAGCGTGGCTCGTATATACCGAGGTAGGCTCGGATACATATTAGCTACATAATATTTTTAAATTAATTTAAAAAATGGAACGCCTACAATATTTATTTTATCTTTTTATATTCATGACATGTAAATAACCGTCCTAATATTTCTTACAATACTACAATACAGTTCAGTGGATTCTTCTCACAGAAATGCGAACAGCAACTAAAGCAACCATTACGTGATTAGTTTCGGGAAACGAATTTGCGATACGTATAAAGCCACCTCAAGGACTAGCTTTTAACCAAATTTATTTCAAAATTCCATGAGTAATAAGTGTATAAAATATTAATATGTATTATAATATAATTAATTAATATCCTGAATGCTTCACTACCCAGACATGAAGGTTTCCTCACGATGTTTTACTTTGCCACCGTGTACGTGCTATGGTGATATCAACACATAATATTACAACTAATGATTTAAATCACAATACATATTTATTGATTGCATTTTGCAGTTTGCATATCCAAAATTTGAAGTTAATGTCTAACAGCGTATTAATTCACCCTTTTTTTTATAGGATAGGGTGACAAACGAACACACGGTCCACCTGATGCTAAGTGGTTGCTGTGGCCCATAGACATCTACATTTATCCTCGTTTGCGAATCAAAATGCAGATGCGTTGCCACCCGTGAGGACTAAGATGTAATGCCTCTTTTCCAGTAAAAAGGATCTCCAGTTCTCTACACTCACCATACGAAACACAGCAGTGTTAAGCTGCTATTTTACGCTGGTATTCTGTGAGAGCGTGGTCCTTCCCCGGTCGAGCCGACCCATTCGTACTACAACTATACTACTAATATAGCTGCACCATGGCTCTACCACGTATAAAAGTTTATTTCAGTTTATTTTAAATGTATGATATTCTGTGTATAAATGTATGATATTCACAACTCCAAATATCAAATATCAAAATACTTATATAATTTTAACGACGTAGTTACATTTTTGACGTGCTCGAATTTAGATATTCGAATTGCAAGCTGACTTATGCATGCTCTGCTACATTTTATATATCATACCTAACATATCATGATACTTGCTCAGGCCAACAAAGAAAGAAAGACTGAGCGCTGTATACATTTTAAGTGAAGCTGAAACCATGATCAACTTCTTGACACGCACTCTCGTTTACTGATGAATGCATACATGTATATGAGTGCGTGTTGTTGTAATAAGGTGAGCATGGTTTTGGCTTGGTTTTTGCATCCCTTAAAATGTACGCAGCGCTCCGTTTTTTTTTTTTTTTTGGTATGAGGATACTTGATTATTAATTTTACAACTGTTAAGTAAAGGGCAATGGCAGAAAAATAGTTGACAAAAATTATTGCGTCTAGAAATAAGTTATATATAAAATGAGTTTTATTATTTTTCTATTATTTTTCAAATAAAAATGTATTTTAATTAAAGCCACAAAAAAAAGCTAACATTTTTGGGAATATCAAATGACTTAAATCATTTTACTCTATTCAAGTGTTGCCATTTACTATATTTATACTACTTTCGTATACACTTTGTAAGACTAGCAACACAACATACAAACACCAAATATTTTTATATTAATTTATTATTAGTATTAACTATACTATCAGTAATATTAATGATAAAAGTGATATGGTTGTAAAGAAGTCTCTTACAAAGAATTTCCTACAATAATATATTATCTCATTCACAGTATTATGTAACAATTCCATTTAATGTTATGGCAACACTAGCTAAAACAAAATGTCACTATTTTTTTTACTGGCTTTACAGCTCTGGGTTCTAGCCCTTCTCAGAGTGTCACTGTATGACACAAAGGCCCTGGAGCCATCCAGAAATATTGATTTATAGTATGCAAATATATAATAGAGTTACAATAATCTAAAAACTCTATGTAGGTAGGTACATTATGTTGATAATGTATTAAGCTAACATCAAACCACCACAGGACGCATAACTTTTTCCAAGTGACATAAGACATAACCTTAAAAGGTTCAAATCTAAATATCTTTTTTTGACGCCTTCTCAGGACAAAATTCTTTGACAGAGTTATTAAGGGACTGACGTTTAACATTTTAAGATATTTTTGATATATAGATGCTACCATTCCTTCTCAACTAATTTTATGTATGAAAGTCTGCCATTGTTCTTTAGTTAGCGAAACTTTACAATCGAATTTGGTATCTGACATGATAATAATGTTTATATTATTTGTAAATTTAAGAGTGAGGTGCGGGTTCAGCATTATTAAAAAATCATTTTCTATAGGACGCCACCATAGAAGTATTAGGCTTAGAACCGCAGTAGGCGCACGCAAAGTGAAGCCATTTCAAGTTAGCCTTTAAAGGCTAAGTACGACTTTTGGCGCGTCAGTACTACGGATGTGACATTGAGTGAAAAAAATCGATTAATAATAAATCGATTTTTTGCTTTGTGATAATAATCGATTTAAGAAAAATCGATTTTTTATAAAATAATAATCGATTTTTGTGAAAAAAAATTTTATTCGAAAAATAATCTTCTGGTTTTAGAAATAAACTACAGAACAATTTTTTTAACATATAACTTTGAACTATAAGAAATCATTAAGAAACCATAATTTTAGTAAACGATAGTTTTTTTTAAACTAAGTTTCAACAAACAAAAAGTCTAAATATCATTATGCCACTAATGTTCAGTACCATTTACATTGGATTAGAATGAAAATAAAATAAAAATATAATTATAAATAATCCGACGACAACCTTTTGATCTCAAAACTAAAATACAAGACAAATCTTTTTTTAAACTTGTGTAAACAAAAAAAGTAAAAAAAAAATATTGCCATGAATTTTCAGTTAAAGACTTTAAAAATAATCATTTCACCAAAATTCTTCTTCGTCTCTTTCCCAAAATACGGTTTCGTTTTTTCCTGACAATATTTCCCGCTTTCAAAAATAATCTTTCGGCTGGCGCGGAACTGGCCATCACTGAGAGGTGTTTAAAAGCCAATTCGGTTAGTTTAGGGAAAGTTCCTTCAGAGCTTCTCCATATATTGAGGGCATCTGCCTTGAGATTTGATAGTGGTGCTGCAATATACAGATCCAATTCAGTATTTTTGCCTATTGACGTGTTGGCCGCTATCATTTTTTCATTATAATATATAATTGTTTACACTAACCAACGAAAGAAAGAAAACCACAGAATACTTTTACTCCTAGCGGAGGAAGAAACCTGTTGAAAACATACGAAAAGCGAAACTGTTTTACATACATAGAGATACATAAAGGTGGCGCCGTCTTTTGATTGACTTATTCATGTTATTGAACTTACTTCACGTTTTTACATCCATCGCACAGATGACTCTGATTACAAAAATCGATTGAAACGCGTAATTTACATAAAAATCGATTTTTAATAAATCGATTTTTATTATAAAAAAAATCGACTACGAAAAATCGATTATAAGAAAAAAATAATCGATTAATATGAAAATCGATTATTTTTTCACATCCCTAGTCAGTACTCGAGGCCACGTAGCCGTGTAAACAGCTCGCACAATTTTTCAAATAAAAGACGTATGTACTGTGAAAGGGTGTCACAACTCATTACATAATCACGAAAAAAATGTAAAAATCTCATTTAACGGTTAAGTACTGTCTAGCATCTTATATTTTAGTAAAAAACATTTATCAAAATTAAATAATATATAATAAATTTGACAGACGCCAATATAATGAAAATGTTGCTAGGCATAGTAAAATATTGTACACCATTTTTTCTTATTATTATAATTATAAAAAAATGCATATTGAAAAAAAATACATACATACTGCCAATAGTCTCATTCACATATAAATAGATATTTTATTTGCCAAATATTATTAAGGTTAACATTTGCCACGAAAAAAAAATATGTTGATTTTATTTTGTTTTGATAATGTGCCGTTGTTTTTACCTTTTTATGGTATGTGTTTTAGAATAAATAACATAGCCGATTATTATTTTTTTTATTCTAATTCACATGTATTTAACATTTGAAGTTCGATTCTTTTATGAATCTAAAAAGATAACATTTCGAGGATAGCGTCATCAAAGCGGCAGTTGTTTAGAAAACAGTTGCAGTTTCAGGGTCATTAGGAGATATTTTTTTAAGTACTTGGGTATATTTTTTTTAAAACATTTTTAATTTCATGTTTTATTTGAATAGTTATCTCCTTCCGAATCTTATTTTGTTATAATGCAAAACATAATATCCAATAAAGTAATAATAATAATCACTTGAAGCTGACCGCACTCTTAAGTCTCGTGATTCCTTCTAATATTATATCCATTCTGTGAAATTTGTACGTTGTAACATTTACGTAGAAACCGATTTAAATTAAATATATCACGTAGAATCTTAGAATGGCAAGAATCGAGATCAGTGTATGCTTTATTATTCGGTTGAAGCCACGGGCCACATCCAAAGTTAGTAAGGAATAACTAATGACAAAATATCTGACAGCTAAAATGATTATCAGATCACTATTCACTTATTAAGTGTAAGTGGGACTAGTTTGGAAAAACTGGAAGAAATAGACGTAGGCATTTGCCTCCTCCATTTCTTCCACTTCTCTATATATCATAGAATAAGGCCATTGAGTATTATATAAAAATTAATATTTACAAATAATTTAAGATTTTATGGAAGATAAATAACAAATATTTAAATAAATATATAATTTTTATACGTGGTAGAGCCATGCTGCAGCTATATTAGTAGTATAGTTGTAGCACGAATGGGTCGGTTCAACCGGTGAAGGACCACGCTTTCACAGAATACCAGCGTAAAATAGCAGCTTAACACTGCTGTGTTTCGTATAGTGAGTGTAGAGAACCGGAGATCCTATTTACTGGAAGAGAGGCATTCTATCTTATTCCTCACGGGTGACATCGCATCTGCATTTTGATATGCAAAGGAGGATAAATATAGTTGTCTATGGGTCACAGCAACCACTTACCATCAGATGGAGTGTGTGCTCGTTTGTCGCCCTATCTATAATAAAAATACCACTTCTAACAGAATAATATAATTACATAATAGATTTGTGAATATAACACAAGATATTACGTATATAAATAACTTAAATATTACACAAGTTAACAACAATAAATAATGTTACATTTTTCTCTTTGCAAATAGTTAATAATCCATTATAAACGCAATCTAAATATTTATTCCATGACGTTGTCTACTATTACATTATCCCCACTTTTTGGGGAAAATGTCATTAACTTGCAAACATTACTCATTTGCTTGTGTGCGTGTAGGCAAGCGTAATTACAGGCCGCTTATGCACACGTTCATTGTGTTGTTGCTTCAACTTTGAACGGAATTTTGAATGTCACTATCACTCTATGTGTAATTACTCTAAGGGACGCCACGAGCACGAGTGGGCTTGAGGCTGTTTTACCGTACTGTACCGATTGTAAGTGCATGTTCTTTACAGTGATTGTGTGTGTGAGTAAGGAAACTATTTAAAAAAAATCAAAAATACTACACGTAAATGTTTGCTTTAAACGTTATTTCATCGGTGTATCTCCCGTCAACTAGCTCTGGAGGTAAGCAGTTATTGTAGAATTTTACTAAAAGTCCTTCCACGTTTTCCAGAACTGGTGGTCTCATTTTATGAATTTAAATTTAATTTTACTGTCGGCTATCGACAGGCAAATATTCACATATTTTATACATTTCATAATTGGCCCTGAACTTGGTAGCACCGTTTGCTTTTGTGTTGACTGTGAAGACGTCACATTTATGCATCCAAAAGTCAATTTTTTTTGTTTTGATTGCTTTTTCGGGTTCCGTATTATAATCGGATCATGGGCATTTTACTTTTAAATAACGAGGTTCATATTTGCCGTCTGGACTAACACCCAGAAATGAGTATTTGTGGCATATTTGTAAACTAGTCATGTATGTTAATATTTAAATCCCTTTCTAATGCTCGGGACACTTTATGTTCGTTGTTCTTGCTATTTTTTACAGATGGCACATTGTTTAAATCGTAACCACACAGTGATTGCTTGGCAAGGATAGAACAGTTAGTATTTTCAAGCCGCTTGCAAAGCCTGGCAAACCATGAAGTTGTCAACTTTTCTTCTAGTTTTCAAGAGCGAGTTTGCACTCTGTAAAACAGTGTTCCTTTTTTTTCCTTTGAATAGAGTTTTTCTGTTCTGGGGTCTTCACCAACTGTAATATAAGTTCAAGTATTTATAAGTATGGGTCCGTAAGCTGACAAAGATTCCTTTGTTTTCTCTGTATATATCCAATATGAAGCTGGATATATCCAGTACCAGTAGACATAATTCCTGCTATAACTTACTTCGATTTATTTTATGTCAAAAGTGGTTTTGACCGTATACTTGTAATTATTTCCCTAAATAAGTCTAGTAAGATAGTTATATTGGTTAAATTACTAGATCCTGCTCGTATCATAGTTATATTCCTAGTAAGACAGTTATAAACCACTTTCATACAACTATATTACGTTATAATATTATAATTATATCCCTAGGGATATAACTATATCACGACTGCGACATCCACATAATTCATAAGAACTCTATTTTAATTGTATATATTATTGTATATTGCGCTAACGGGATAATAGAGATCGTTACTCACATTCAAGTAATAAAAGAATACGCAAAATGGGAAACACATTCATATAAGTATACGAGGTACTTCAAAGTTAAGCGAAGGTTGAATTTTCATAACAACTTAACCTTTAGCACTCAGACGGACTCTCAGATTCTTCTCAATATTATTTATGTCAACACACTCTAAGGTAGAGATAAGTGCTTGTAAAAAAATAATAAGAATAAAGCTCTTACAACCTCATTTGTTTGCGAAAATCCAGTATTTCGATAAAGAATATCTCATAAAAAATGTCCAACATAAAAAATAGTTTTTCGATGTTTGTGAATAAAAATATTTTTCACATTATGGTCACAATCCATAATAAAGTTTTATAGCATGTGCAACGAAGTATCTTTTAGCGTATTTGATTATAGTACCAAATTTTTTTCGGGATAGAGCTAACTGCAGTTGTATTTAGGCAGCACACAGCGTAATTCAGTTACTATATTAGAGAACGGGAAATAGGTTTGGCAAACCCTGGCATTCTATCTTAGTCTTTAAGAATGTTGACGCATTTTCACATTGAACGTTGTCTATGGGCCACAGCTTCCACTTACCATCGTATGCGCCGTGTGCTCATTTGTAACTATTATTCCAAAGAATCGACCTGGCAACATACAACGCACGCACTCTGAGGACTGACGAGAAGATTGTGGAGCTGGAAGAAGAGATAGGCAAGTTACGCTGGCATATTATAGGATTATCCGAAGTCCGAAGAGAGGGGGAGGACACGGTAATCCTTGAATCCGGCAACTTGCTCTATTACCGGGAGGGCGACCATCTGTCCCAAGGAGGTGTCGGATTTATCGTCCACAAGTCTCTCGTTAACAACGTTGTAAAGATTGATTGAGAGTGTGTCGACGAGGGTTGCGTACCTTATACTCAGAATCACCAAACGGTATTCGCTGAAGGTCATACAGGTTTACGCACCAACCTCGGCACACCCCGGTCAGGAGGTGGAGGAAATGTATGAGGATATCTCTAGAGCCATGCATTCCTCCAAAACCCAATATACGGTGTTAATGGGAGACTTCAATGCAAAATGCAAAACTAGGCACAAGAGAGAACGGTAAGCTGAAAGTGGGGAAATTTGGAATAGGGCAACGGAACCCAAGGGGCCAGCAGCTGGCCGACTTCATGGAGAAAGAGGAACTCTTTATGATGATCTCTTTCTTCCAGAAGCGGCCCCACAGGAAGTGGACCTGGTCGAGCCCCGACGGTTCGACAAAAAATGAGATTGACTTCATACGAGCTTTATGATGAAAGATCATATAATAGTAGTGTTATATTTAGAGATTATGTAAAAACATATTCTAAAATATTTAAAAAAGTGTGCTCCACTGCTAAGGCTTTACATTTAAGCAACAAAATTAAAACTGCATCCGACAAAATTAAAATGACCTGGAGAATAATAAATAGTGAAACGGGCAAGATCAAACCGCGCAACTCGGATTTTCAATTGAATATTAACAATAATTTAACGCGATGTGATCAAGAAGTTGCTATGGCTTTTGAGAAACATTTTACTGATGTTCCTTTTTTGACAACAAAATCATTAAATTCTTCTCCTACTGTCGCCGAATCATTGCTCAAACAAAATGTAAAGGCTTGTTCAAATACTTTTAAATTCCATAGGGTACTGCCAAAAGATATCGTTAAATATTTTAAAACTATTGATGTTAAGAAAACGGCAGACTTATGGGGGATTTCCGTTAAAGTTATTTTATCTATAATGGATACATTAGCACCTTATCTAGCCACTATATTTAATATAAGCGTCGAATCTGGTGTGTTTCCTGATTTAATGAAACATAGTAAAGTCATACCTATATTTAAATCTGGTAGTACATTAGACCCCGCCAATTTTAGACCAATTTCTGTACTACCAACATTAAGTAAAATTTTTGAAAAAATTATTTTAGATCAGATGTTAAGTTTCTTTAATATTAATAAATTGCTACATAATAATCAATTCGGTTTTACAAGGGGTCGCTCGACAACTGACGCTGGAGTTGAGCTTATTAAACATATTTTTTGTGCATGGGAGAATTCAGAGGATGCTTTGGGTATATTTTGTGACCTTTCCAAGGCCTTCGACTGTGTTCACCATGAGACATTAATCAGGAAGCTACAGTACTATGGTGTCAAGAACACAGCGCTTAAACTTATTATTTCATATTTAAGTAATAGAAAACAGAAGGTTATTATCAATGGTAAAAGTTCTTCCGGGTCACCTGTACTAATGGGTGTACCTCAGGGCTCGATTCACGGCCCATTCCTGTTTCTGGTGTATATTAATGACTTACCTCACCTTGTAGGGGATAGTCATGATATAGTATTATTTGCTGATGATACTTCCTTGATTTTTAAACTTAAACGTCAATCATTTAAATGTGACGAAGTGAATAATGCTATATCAAAATTAGTGCATTGGTTTAACGTTAATAATCTGCATTTGAACGGAAATAAAACTAATTGTGTTAAATTTACAACAACGAATGTTCAAAATCTGAATACCAATGTGTTTTTAAATGGGGAGGAATTGAGCCCTGTTGTATCCACTGTTTTTCTTGGCATCACTCTTGACGTAAAGCTCCAGTGGGGCCCCCATATATCCAAATTAGCAAGCAGACTAAGTTCTGCAGCCTATGCTGTAAAAAAGATTAGAGGTCTCACTAGTGTCGAGACAGCTAGATTAGTTTATTTTAGTTATTTTCATAGCATAATGTCTTATGGGATTTTGCTATGGGGAAATGCGGCTGATTCAGAAACTATTTTTGTTTTACAGAAGAGGGCCATTAGAGCTATTTACAATCTAAAACCGAGAGAGTCTCTTAGAGATAAATTTAAAGAAATTAATATATTAACTTTGGCCTCTCAGTATATTTACGAAAATTTAATGTATGTTCACAAAAACAAAGATAGTTTTAGTAAAAGAAGTGATATACAGTCTGTAAACACTAGGAACAAACACAAGCTAGTGATACCAGTTTCTCGACTCCACAGAGTCAGTAATTCATTCTTGGGGCAATGTATACGCTATTACAACAAGGTCCCGGAAAGTGTACAGGTTCTCTCTATTACCAAGTTTAAATGTTTTATTAAGCTGAAACTGTATAAAAAGGGTTATTATAGTATAAATGAATACATGGTTGATAATAACCCCTGGGAATGAGGTGATCGCTTCCAAGCAGTTTCTAAAATAAATTTTGTAATTAGTTCGTAATCATTTATATTGTAAAATTTATTTAAAAAAAAAGTCCCGCTGGGTTTCTTGCTGGTTCTTCCCAGGACAGAGGGTTTTTTTCGAACCAGTGGTAAAGTAAAAAATGACTTTCAATAAGAATTACACATGTAATGTATATTGAATAAAAAATATTCTATTCTATTCTATTCTATTCTATTATGACGACCAGACGACAACTGTTCAGTGATGTCTCAGGGATCGCGAGGGTGAAAACCGGCAGCGATCACCGAATGGTTAGAGGCACACTGAACCTAAACGTTAAGTTGGAGAGGTCTCGTCTAATGAAGTCAACGCTCCGTCCCCCTCGTGCTCTAATTCAAAGTCCCGAAACGTTTCAGCTCGAGTTACAAAACCGTTTTCAGTGCCTAGAAGACTGCAATGAAGTGGACGATTTGAATGACAAGCTCGTGGAAACTGTCCATGCGGTCGGAGCTAAGTTCTGCAAGACCCGCCGCAGAAGAACACAAAAACTCTCCGATCACACTCTTAATCTCATGGCTGTTAGACGGGAGATAAAGCTACATTCTTCAACAGATTTGACAGCATACAGGCAACTGAACAGACAGATCTCCAAATGCATGCGGCGGGACTTACGCAACTTCAATACAGCTCGTATTGAAGAAGCGATCGAGCGGAACCAAGACTCCAAAGTCTTTGCCAGAGATCTGTCTG